TCAGGAAACTCACAGCTGTCCCTTGAATAAATATTTTAATAAATGTAATAAGCAAAGCATCTGCATTACTGCAAAACTGTTGAGGCGTCACCATTGGGAACAGATTAGATGCGAAGTTGTAGTCATTCATCAGTTACTGGTCGTGTGTCCTCTAAGCCCTTGCCTGGTACGGGAGATCCTGCCCTCCAGGGACCCTTGCCTGGGGGCAAGTGGAGGGAGAAATGTGCAGCTGGAAGAGGGGAGGACCTGAGGAGCTTCCTGTTGAAGGAGGAGGCCCGCCTGCCCTTCACATCTACAGGTTCATGGGTGTGAGATGCCAGTAGTCAGCAAAAATGAAACCCTAATGTCTTAATGTGGCCAACCTGATTTTATTTATAAATGTTAAGCAAGATGGGAATCGAAGCAGTGACCTGCAGAACTAAAGGAGGCTGTTATCTTATACTCATTAATTCTTTTATTCCTTCCTTTCTAAAAAACACGATGTGTCCTAAAAACCACCGTTTCACTTTACATTTAAATGATACTCTATTGAACATTTTCGTAGTAACAGTTCACTATTTATAATGTTTATTTCAGTAATAAACAATTCACTAGGTTTGAAAGAAAACCATTTAAAGTAGAAAAACTTCCTTCTAAGCACATTCCAAATACTTCTTGGTGTTATATGTATGTAATATACGATATAGATGTATAATGGTAGTAAAATACATATAACATGAAATTTACCATCTTCATTCTTTTTAAATGTACAATGTAGTGACCTTAAGTGCATTTGTCATTGGTGTGTGATCATCCCCAGTCTCTATCCACAGAACTTTTTCTATCTTGCAGAAATCCTTGGCATTTTTGCAGTTGCTCTTGCTAATAGGTGTATTTTATTTAGCTAAGCCAGCTTACCAGGTACTGTACAGATTTTCTCTGACTGAATTCTCACCATAGTCTTGTAAGGGGAAGCATACTATATATATAATTATTACTATTAGGAAAACAGACTAATTTGGGTGAAGTAACTTGTTTCAAGTTGTACGACCAACAACCTGATATTGGGATAGGCCTTTGGACCCAGCTTCTTCTAAAGTTGAGGCTTTTTGTGTTGTTCCACAGTGATTTTCAGTTAGAAACTTTGATTCTGGCATCTTGCCTTTTGTCAGTAAGTGTTCTTGGCACAGATCGGAGTACTGTTCACATTTTCTCAGAATCCTGGGCCTTGTTTCCTTTGTACTTAAAGTTTCTCATTCGGTAAATATGAGAGGCCACTGAGCACTAACAGAATAGGTGCCTGTAAAAGCAGTTAAAAATTAAAACCACACTTTCTTTTTGAAGCCTATAGCCCCCAAACAGGAGTACTGTATACAGCGTCCAACAGTTAAGTTAGTGAACTCGTCCTAGAACAAGTGCTACAACCTCATTGCTGAATATCACTGTGGTCACCTTCGAGGTACTCCCCTTGGGAAGCTGTGCACTGATGCCAGTGCCTAATCCCCCCTTCAAAGCAATTTGAAAAATCTTTTTCTGAAATAACCTTCCAAGCTATCTTCATACAAGGTCTGAGAGTTAAGTTTTTGAACTTTCCACCAGAAACTTACATTGGCAGCACCATATAAACAACTCAGTACAATTTTGTAACCTTGTTATATCAGCATCTTACAGCTGTAGTCGAGTAGACATGTAGAGGGGTCTTGCTGAGTCATTATCATTGTGTGTTTTGTGTACCATGCGGATACTGGATGGTCATTCCAGAAGAAGAGTTGCAAAATTGCTTTGAAGGGTGGACTGGACACTGGCATTGATACATAGCTTCCCAAGGGGAGTACTTTGAAGGTGGCCTGTGATATTCAGCGAAGAGCTATGTAGCACTTTTTCTAGGGTGAGTTACTGACCTTAATTGTCTTACCTCACGTATCTCTAAAATACCCTACCTCTCTAGAAAGTCACCCATTGGACCTCAGCTCTGGTGGGTGAAGTAATCTTTTCACTGTTAAATTTACTTCCCTGCCTACTGAAGATGGCACCTCACCTTTCCTTTATGCAAACACAGACGGAAGCCACATGTTTGCTCAGTCCCATCTGTGGCTGGGCTGGTGTGTGGAGACAGGTTGTGGAAAGGACAATTCTGTAAAAGGCACAAGGAAGGGCTCTTGATTCTGGCCACTGGACTTGTTGATGTAAAGGTGCCTTGATTTGGGGGTGGCAAGGGAAATGAGCATAAAATCAGGCTAATATTAGTAATCGTTTTTATTCCTGAAAGTTAGAGTCAGTAAAAGAATGTGGGGAGAAGTCAGCAGGGATACTTCCTTGCGCCTTTGCCCTTTGTGAGTCTCCTTTCTTTAGTCTGATGTGCAAATAAGAGGAAAAACACTGGGCACCAGTTGACTTTTCATCTTAGAGAGTGGAGGATGGCCACCCCAACACTGACCTAGTGACCTCATCATTGCCCCACACCTCCGATGACCAGAGGCAGCAGGATCCAGAGCTTCCCCTGCGTGGCCCTCCTTGGATGCTTTTGCTGGCTCTGTGTTGCCATCTAGATAATGTCTATACTCCAGGCCTGCCTACTCTTCTCGGTCTGGCCCTTTACCCTGGCATTTTCCCTCCTCATCTGCCTAGCCACCTGCTGTGTGTGCCCCATCAGGGGTCTCTGCTTCCTCCAACCCCTGGTAGACCCCATCTCCCTCCTTTACCCCGTTTACTTGAATAAGCCCTGTCTGCCCTTCCTTTCTCTTGGAAAGCCTTCCTTCAGCCCTGACCCTGGTGGGGCTCTCCTTCTGTGAGCTCCATCCTCAAGTTGGCGCAGCCACAGAGTAGCCTGGAGGCTGGAGCCTCCTCCGGCAGCCTGCGGGTTTTAGTCATTGTCATTGCCTCAGTCCTCCCTGCCTACCCCTCACTTTGTGTCATCACATCTATAAATGTGGAAGAAGGGTGGGAGGGAGGGGTGAGGCCCCGTCTTCTCTCCCAGAGCGAGTAAAATATTCATTTGCTGAAGTCCCTGTCCTTGTGATTCCACTCTGTTCCCTATTTGGAATGTCACCTTTACAAGGGCAGGGATCCTAGGCCTCTGGTTCCCAAGTTTGGCTTTAATACATAGCTTCTTCCCAGATGAGACAATGTTCAGTACCGGTTGCAAAATATATGATGGATTCTGTCAGTAGGCAGTGGTACACAGGACTTCCCACATCAGAAGAAGAAGGTCCTCTTTCTCTCTCCTTTTTGTGCCTTGGAAATATAGAGAAAAGCCTTCTTAAAGGATCAAATCAAAGCCAGAAAGGGCTTCATGCTCCCCCCACCAAGGAAACCTCAGGAGAACTTGCATCTGCCTATCTGTAGGACACATTTATGCAAAACCATGTTTTATTTTGTTTGGTTTTTCAGTGCCTATTTGTTCATTTACATTCTTTTGCATACTGTTGCTTTAACTATCACCTAATTTAAGCCTTTAGTTATTTCTTGTTATAATTTTCTAGAAAAGGATTGTTATTTAGCAGTCCCTAGTGGCTGTAGATCCCTTATTTGTGGATTCCGTTTTTGTCTCCTGGCGTTCAGGTGGAGACTTCTCTGCACCTGACGTTGTCCGTGGCAGCTCTCTGGTCTACTAGCATGGTGGGTGATTTCTGATCATGACTAGTGTCTCCAACTCAGGGACTCGGATGAGAAAGGAAAAACCCGAAATGTCACGTTCCGCAGGACTCCCCTTGTGGGTGACAGAAACTGACAGATGTCCTTATTTTTATTCTGCAAAACAGCTCCTCCTTCTCCCAGAGAAGAATCTGTGTTTGTAATTCCAGTAATTTCTACTCCTAGAAAACTCTTTTCATCTGCTTTGCTGGGGAGAATGTTTCTCCCAGTTCCTGATTTTGGTTGTTGTTAGCCTTCCCTTACCCCTCCCAGGTAGGCAGGACTTGTCTGAGTTACAGGTTTTGTCAGGAGGGGTGGAGGAACGCAGGAGGAGTTTAGACTCTAAGAAATCTGGCTCTGTGGTAGTCGAGAAGTTTGGGAGCCACTGTGTTCCCAGGTGCCCTCCCTGTAAGAGTAGGGATTGTAATAACTGCCTTACAGGAAGACCCTGGACACAGTGTTTGCTGTGTGCCCAGAACTGGGCCTCACTTGGGGATCTTGTCCTTTGCTAACCTATCAACAAATACTAACAGCTAGAACATTTCAGAAGCATGTGGTACTTTCTTTTCTTTTTTTTTTTTTGTAGTCGAGATTTTATTGGTTGTGTTGAGCATCAGTACAGACACTTCAATTTGTACACAATTCTTAACATACGTACCCAAAATCTAAAAAGCCATTTTAATTCTTTTTTAAAGTTATTCCAGTGACTTTCCAGATTAAAATTTGGAGGCAAATTTTCCTTAAGAGGATACCA